AATTTCTAATTTTTCCATGTTGTGCTTCAAGGTTTTCCACATATTCCAGGACTCCGGCAATCAAAAATATTTATGATTCTCTTAGATAATATACTATACTGCAGTTATATTTCATCTTCTTTTATACTGGGGTCTAAACAAGCTGATTCACTGTATACTGTTTGTGGTTATTATGTTATTAACTAGATATCTAACTAGTTATTACACTAAAATTTCTATGAAATGATAAAACCTGCCTTGTCTCTCCCTCTTATATTGCAATCTTGCCAAGCTAGTTACATACTGTCCAACCAATGTACAACATTTGTGACTAATGTCCCTCACAAAAAAACACTCATTTTTATTTCAAGAGTAAGTGTGACAAGCCTGACCTGTATTGGCAGCAATAAACCATGCATGAGACTAGGACACACAGGAACAGTCTAAGCAGGTTTCTCCTGAACTTTTTCCTTAGATTCAAAAAGTTTCTGGTAAATAATAACATAAAAAAGAAACTTAATCTTGTGATATACATAAATATGTGGTTACAATAGTAACTATAATTACATATAATAAGGAAGCAGTCTATGATAGACAGACATGTATATTATGACATACATAAATACTCGAGTGTAATGATAGCCTACATAAAACAGAATATTAAAATATATAAATAAATAGGAAAAAAAAATACAGATTTAGTTTAAAACAATTCTTATCTTATTATTCAACATATTATCGTTCTCATGTTATTATTCATTATAGAGGAAACATGTACCTTATTAGTGAATGTAAATCATAGTTGTAAGCATATTTCAGTATTATCATATCAATGTTAGGTATGCAAGTAGTAAAATTAAGAATGTGAGTATAAAGAACAGTAAGTAGTTGAGAAAAATGAAAGAAGAATAGAAAAGAAAAATAAAGAGAACATTTGGAATCTAATTCAAATGCTTCTATGGAAATTCAAAGAGGTGGGTCGATAAAGTTGTGATATGCTGCAATTTGTGCTATTTGTGCTAATGGATAAAAGATTATTATATTCAGGACCGCAAGATCCCCCTTATTTTTGATTTGAAAAGAGTTTTGTGATTCACTCGAGGTTTTGATTTTTTCCAGATAAAGGCAAATTTCGGATTCTGTATTGATCACAATATATGAGAAGATATAAAGAGAATATATATTCCACAACCCATCTGCCACTTTAACACTTATGAGTGCATTTTTTACAGTTTTTAATACATTTTCTTGATTTAACTTACGATTCTCTGCAGGTTTTGCACTGTGTCTTTTCACTCCTATTGTAACTTTGTAACTTTGCAGCAAGTTACAAGATGAACAGCCGCAGCAGGGGGCTAATCTTTGTGTGATAACAAGGCAACACCCCAGGGGTTTATATGATTTCTGAGAACCAAAGATAAAAACAGTTTATCATTTACAATATATGAATTATATTGATCAGTTTGTTATCATAGTTGTGTTGCACCTGTTTTATTCAATACATCATAATTTATAAATTGTTATCCTACTCAATCCTATTAGATGTCCTGTTCAAGGTTTGCTTGTACCTACAAATAGCTTCAAATGTGCGAGTATGTGCACCACCTCCTACTGCCTCTTACACCTCAGTCACATTGACAGACCAATAATGAGGCATGTGAGGTGAGAGGGCAAGTGAAAGTGCTGCCTTACTAGTGGAAGACAGAAGTTACATAACAAGGGTACTCTAGGGTATTATTATTGGGCTTTTAGGTGTTCTTCAATTCACTCAACTTCACACTTTTGTACATCAAGTCCCTTACATTCTTTCACAAGCTGTTGGACAAACTATTGACTCTTAGTTAAAACAATAACGCCATCTGAGTATTGTTAGTACATATACAGTAGTTACCAGTTATCAGCTAGTTACCAGTTATCAGCTAGTTACAGTGTCACATTGGCCCATCTGTTGAAAAAAGTTTGTCTTGCATTGTGTGGATTCATTCTATTAAAAGCTTTTGTTAATACTTGTTTTGTTACTGCATCATGTGCTTGTTGAAATCTCATTGTGGCATGACTGTCTGTATTTATTTTGCTGAATACATTGAAATGCTACTATTGCCCACAATTAAATTCTAGAAGTTCACGAAGCTCTGACTGTTGCTGTACCATCAACGACAAAAGTAGTATTTAGGCTATTTAAAAGGTTAATTGTACACTTTATCGTACTAAATATTTAGGATATATTTACTATCATGTTAGTCATGTCATGTTAGAAAATTAGATTTTCATGCATATAGAAAAACAAAACAATTACTGTAACAAGAATCATCAGTTACCAATCTTATTAAGGCTTTTAGATGCCTACCAAGCAAAATACTTGTGCATGCACCCTCAGATGAACAATGCCATCTTTGACTAATTGTAGGACCTTTCCTTTCTTGGGCTGCAAAGAAAGTCAGGTTCCAGGTTTTTTGTCAAAGCTTAATTGAATAAGCTGAAGTTAGAAGCTGATTGGCTACCATACACAGCTGCAGCAAATTTTGCACTCTCAAGTTTTTAGTAAATCTACCCCATTATTCTTAGTTCATTGCCGTAGGTGAATATCAAGTCATAAACCATAAGCCTTTCCTAAACTCACATTTGTCTTTAATAAATCAGCTCATTGAATTGTTGACCTAATCTCCTTGTCAGGCTCATGTGCTTTTTATTTTAATTACTTTAGTACGTGGAATGCCTTAGCTCCCTCACAAGACAACAAATCTCCATTTAAACTTGGCCTAAGACTTAGAAGTTTAGTTCCTTACTCCCCACTTTACACTCAGTAGTGAACTAACCGAGGGCGATCAGAAGTTACAGCTGAATGGAGATTAAGACAAACATTAAGACATATATAAATAAATTAAATTAAAAATTAAATTAATTTAGCCTGTAAGCTGCTACACAAGCTCTAATATTCTACAACTATCCAAAAAAAATCTAAGTAATATTTCACTGTTTAGAATGCCTCCAGAAATGTTCTGCTTGTGTGATTGGCTGACTGCTTTTCTCAGAAGTCTCCAATGAGATACAAGTAACACTGTAGCCATCTTTCGCAACAGGAATTTCATTTTTGGTAAAATACTCTCTAAGGCTTGTCTACTACATAATGCAGACACTGTCACTTTCCTCATTCAGCAAACACATCCTATGCAAATATCATAGCTTGATAAATTTATCACCATGTCAGTCACAGTCCCAGGTCTTTTGTAATTGCTTCTCCCTCTGTTGTTTTTAATGCAGGCCTTTCATTTTCCAGATATTTTTCAGCTGAGAAATTTTGAGTGCCATCTGATTTCATACTATGCATTGCTTTTGAGTACAGTTTTTTAGGGTTTTTTTCAGTTTCAGCTCATATAAGATGTGAACATTGAATACTGTATGTTTCCATGCCTTATGCAAGGGTCTATAAAACCCCTGATCCCTCCTCTGCCCTCCAAAGCATCAAATCAAACCAATGGTGATGGTTTTGATCAGATGCTTGCCTGGCATATACCAAAAACCAAAGAATCAAAACCAGAAGTGATATAATAGATGTTATGTTACAGTTTCAGCGGGGTGGGCTCTTGTGCCCTGTAGGGATCAGGCAGCTGTAGAGCTGCTTAATCATTCTTACATGAAAGACAGTCGCCAACTGAAAATCATGATATCGGGATCATTGCTGCAGCTGGTAAGCTGCCAAACACAGGACAGTTGGACTCAGGTAATGATTTCATCCAAATTAAAAATCTGTGCCCAGTACCCCTCCATCACTATCTCTTAGAAAGAGAACTGTAATCTCTTTGTAAGGTAATAATTATATTCAGTATAGTTCATTCACACCTCTTGACTTTGGTGTCAAGACAACCCTGCTTTTTGCTTCTTGAATGTGGCTTTCAGCAAAATACTGTACAAATTCCATAGGGATGAATGGTAATGTATGTAAGTCATACTGCAACTACACCACATAAAAAAGCAGTTCTGAGTTTAGAGTAGCAATTCATTCTTTGTACATGAAAAATATACTTGATATCAGGTCCATCTCAGCTCTACTTTTGTCTTACACTATTATAAAACAAAATAGTATACTAAAGTACACAGAAGATATGTATGATCTATAAAGTTCCAAATCCTGGAAATAATTTTTGTCATACTTCAGAAATAGAAGTGGAGGAGTATTCATCAGATACACTAGTGTTTCCTTTACATTGGTGCCAGAATGTAGTTTCAAGTTGACTAAACATTCAGTGAAACTGACAGTCCAGTGAGAGCAGCATTACAGAGGAAGACAGAGGGGGAAATCATCTTACTAAACAAAAACAGGCTATCATTGTTCTTTTATTTCTGCAGATACAGCACAGGAGTTATCCCATAAAAGCCTTCTTTCAAGCCACACATTTGAGGTGGTACATCCACAGACAACTGCAAGAATGGGGAAGGTAAAAATATATTGATTCATCTAGAAATTGTTGTTTTTTTTAAGATACATTTACAGATAAACTAAAACAAGATCAGTACTAATAATTGTATTGAAGTTTTTTTTTTAATGATAAGGGATTATTTCAAACAAGCATCTTAAAATATTAAGGGATTTTCTATTTTTCTGGTTGTGAATTACCTTGAAACTGATTGTGTGTTTGAAGTAAACACAGATTTAGTAAGGCAATCCTTAAAGGGTCTATTTATGAACAAATTGTTGCGCAAATGTGTCAAAATTGCTACAAAGGTCATAAATTAAACCCTTGTGAAAGTTTTTTTTTATATATATGCAAAATGTTATTTTTTCTGGATATTGTCAAAAAATGTAATTAGAATGAATAAACTATTATATTAAACACACAACCTTCTTGAACAAGATTCTTCAAAATTCCAGCATTGTGCAATAGAAGCACTAATGTACACTGTATACTGTATAATTTAAGAACATTCAATCAGGTATATGTCCTCGTAATTATGTTTTTAAAACCCTTGATCATCAAAGCATGATTTTTAATAATTTGTTTTCCTCGTTTTTTCTATAATAGATAATTTTCTATGAAGATAGGAACTTCCAGGGTCATTCCTACGAGTGTAGAACTGATAACCCTGATCTGCAACCCCATTTTAATGCCTGTAATTCTGTTCGAGTGGAGAATGGCTGCTGGATGCTTTATGAGAGACCTAATTACATGGGACACCAGTATTTCCTGAAGAGGGGAGAATATCCTGATTACCAGCAGTGGCAAGGGCTCAATGATTCCATCAGGTCTTGCCGTTTACTCTCACAAGTGAGTTGTATATTGGATTCCGTCATTTAACTAATATTATACCTATCAATATCAGCTAGATGAAAAATATGGTGTAATTATATGCTAGTGAAACAAAAATGTTTGAGGCATGTATTTTTGATAATGTGATCCATTGCTGCTGTTGTGGATACAATTACACCAATGCTTTGAGCTAAAATTCTGTTAAAAATCTTATTTTTTTTCTCCTGGATGGAGTGGATAAGAGTTAGATCCATTGTCAGTTTTTTGTTCTGTCTGTGTTTCTTTTGGGAATTTCCTCTCACCTCCTGTCCTGGTCAGCCTGGGCATTGTTATGATCTAAACTTCCTGTTACATCTCTCTGGAATGTATAATCAATATATTCTTATGGGGAATCAATTAGTTAAAGTCAGGAAAATATCAACCAATTCCAAACAAAGATCTCAAGAACAAAATGTAATTCGCTAGGCTAGAACTCAACAAATGCCTCCCAATAGGGAGGACAATTGGACATTTTATTGCAAAAGGCAAAGCACATTTCTTGTTACATTTCTTGAACTTAATCCCCAATCTGCTATTCCTAAAATTAACAAGGGCTGTCTCTATACCTCATTCTGTCTTTAATGAATTTTATTCATATTATTCCAAACTTTACAGAGCATCTCTTCAAAACCTATGGATAAATCATTTGCAGGCCTTTCAAACCCAACTCCTCAAAAGACCATAGACAGATTTTGGAAGGGGAGGTAGTGGCAGGAAAGGTTGTAATGTCTATCAAACAATCAAAACCATTGAATTCCCCTGGTAGCAGTGACAGCTTAATGATATTATATTACAAATGAAATCTTGACACAGCTCATACCCCAACTAGTCAAATATTTTAATGCATTGAACCCCTTCTGGACAATGATTTAAAAAGATCTTATATTTGCAAAATGTTCAAGCCATATAACAACCCCTTAAAATTATAGAAAGATATCAAACCTGATTTGAAATTAATGAGCAAAATCTTTCCAACTTTTTCTCAGAGCCATGCATTCACAAACATCCAGTACAATTTGTACACAACAGAAAGGCCCCAAACCTAATTTGAAGAACACTGGACCTCATTGAATTTTTTAATCCGTGGAAGATAGGCATACTAAATTCTACCCATATCCTCCTGGTTCCACTATTAACCAACTTTGCTTTTCCTCCAAGATACAGTCTAAATGGGGGACAAACAAAGACTTGTATTGAATAGGCTGCTGTTTTCATTAAAAAAAGAGTATTTCTCACTAGTACCTTCCAGACTTGTAAAAAAAATATCCCTGATGACTGGCAAACCTGTCTTAGAAAATTCAGAAAACCAGAAACAATGTTCCTGGACATGCCCCAAAACCGAGCATTTTTGGACAAGGGTACATGAATGATATATCCTGTACCCAAAGTCACATCTCCAAAATTGCTTACTGCAGATATCACAAGGTATTTCCAAACTCTTATCTTTTCTTTTTTTAGACACAAAATATATACAGCAAGAGCTTGAGAATTAACACAATACATATCACTACAACTAAAAACAAAATGTCATGGATAATGCTTCATGGAAAACTATTGAGCCTAGTAAGGTATAAAGAAAAAATTCCTGGATATACTCTCCTAACTGTGGCAAAAAGAGAATGAATCTCCCTAGCATAAATGCAGGCAGTAATAAAGACCTAACAGGCATTCAAATCCTTCCACTCTCTATCCAAAAGAAAATGTTTTTTCTTTTAGTCACACTTTAATGACTAATATTTAAAATTCAAATTATTAAACCAGAATTAATTTTAAAAAAAAAGCTTGTTGCAAAAGAGGATCAATAATACTTAGCTGTCCAGTGGGCAGTACCCTGGATTGCTGTCCTTTTGAAGAGCTGTATTGGCTGAAGAATTTTGTGCATCCTGTGCACCTCCAGAAGTGTCTGAGGCACTCACTGTAGTGCAATGTGGTTCCATTCACCAGTCTCTATCTTATTATCCACCAATAACCCAAGTGAACACCCACTGGGCAGGTTAGTATTCTTAAACCTATTGTGCAGGGAGCTTAAAAATACATTTGGCAGTTACAAATTTGAGTTAGAATTGCATTTTTTTTCTTATTCAAAACGTATTTATTTGTTGATATCATGACATAGCCCCAGGCTTCATTAGTAAATTAATGTAAAAATACAATTGACTTAATCAATAAATTGTTGTTTTTCATTATAGCACCTAGGAATTGGAATTAATAAAATCAGAGTATATGAAAGAGGTGACTGCAAAGGAGAAATGATGGAGTTCCTTGAAGATTGTCCAAATGTTTATGACCGCTTCTGCTCCCATGAAATCCATTCTTGTAATGTTCTAGATGGCTATTGGATATTCTATGAGCTCCCCAACTACAAAGGCAAACAGTATCTGCTCAGACCTGGTGAATATAAAAGGTTCACTGACTGGGGCTCCCAAACTGCAAAAGTTGGGTCTTTCCGTCGTGTCTTGGAGCCTTATTGAAAAGCTTTTCTTGCATTCCTGTGCTAATAAAAGGATAACAAACAACACTCTGTGCTTTACTTAAATTGGAACTATGAACAAGGTCAAAGACGACATGTATGATGCAGGCTGTTAAAGTGGTAGTAAACTTTGACTTTAAGCTTGTGCCAACCTACAGGTAAGCTTATAATACGTCTTACCTTTAGGTACTATGAATAAATTGTGCTGTTTAGTAGATATTCACATTGGCTCCAACTTATCACACCACTTTGCATGCACAGTGTGCTCTGTGTTCAGGGCAAACTGAGTGTGCCGTGAATGTAGAGTGCATCATGTCATGATGGTGACTCCTGTGCACATGCGCAGATGTGATGTCATCGTGGCCCAGCCATTCACACAGTTGGAGAACAGAAGGAAGACTGAGTGAAGATGGAAGTGCCAGGTGTGGTGACAGTGCAGAGCTGGAGGTCTGCCATAATGAGCTAGTATGTAGTGCACACTAGTACATTATGGCTTGACACTGTAGAGGACCTTTTAGAAAAACTTCCTGAGATTACTACCACTTTAATAGCATTAACACATCAGTCTTCGTTTTTCTGAGTCTCCCCATAACATAGTTTTATTACCAGTTGATCCAGTAAGTATGCTATTTTTCTTCTTCTTTTAACAGACTAAGCTGTCAAAAAAAACGTTAGGGGGTTAAGACAAACCATGTAACACTGACAGGAGTGTTTACAATGGTTAGCTTTTCTCCCAAAAGGAAAAAATTTAACTGATACTTAGCTAGAGTTAGGCTTTAATTTGTTAGTCAATAGACCAAAAGAGATTACGTTACTCCTCTATAAACAGTGGATGAGTGAGTGTAGCCACCCTAAGACAGGAAATGTTTTACTGGGCAGACCACCAGGTGAAAAGAAAATGAAAAAGCTTCAAAAAGAACATGAATGTAGCCATGACAACTAAGGTTTGGTAAGCTGAAAAATATTACATTATTGTTTTTGAATTTAGATACAATTTATTTTCTGTTTGTAAAAATTTATATTTACTAGTACATATCAAAAAACATAATATGCACAAATGAAGAAAAAAAAATATATATAAAAGTATTGTCGGTAAACAAATAATATCAGTTTACCTTCAATAATTCTGCATTGGTGTCAAAAAATTTCCAAAATATTCTTTGGGTTGGGCCAGCAGATAATGCAGAGTAGTTTAAAAAGATATGAAATTTGTATTGTTTATTGTGAATTTTGTGAAAATAGAATTTATATAGTGATGAATCATTCTTACATACCAGCTCACCATTTCTGACTATATTACCTGAATATATTTACACTGGATTTTATTGTTAGACATCTATTTAAAGTTATTCCTTAACCACTAGGGGACCGCCCGCTGTACATATACTGCTACAAGGCGTATATGAACGTGATCCTGCACACCGGGGTAGGGGGAGCGAGCGAGGCGCGTGACCGCCCTACCCGCAGCACCAATCGTGGCCATGGGTGTCAATCACCGGGTCCCGGCCAGTGATTACCCCACCGGAGCCCAGTGATTGCCGGCAATCACTGACAGAGAGGAAGGCTGCATTGTTTTCAATGGAGCTTTCCTCCCTGTCAGCTTTCAGTTCATTGTACCGGGATCGCAGGACACAGCCTTCCGGGACAGTGTGTAACAGAGAGGCACACACCCCCGCCCCCTAGTAAAACACTCCCCTCACACAGTTAACCCTTTGATTGTCTTCAGAAGTTAACCCCTTCCTCCCCAGTGCCCCATTAGTACAGTGTCAGTGTTTTTTTTTTGTACTGATCACTGTATTGGTTTCACTGAGGATGTCAGTGACCCCAAGTCAGTTCCCCCCCAGTGTCAGAATGTCCGCCGCAGTAGTCCCGCAGTCCCGTCATAAGCCACTGATCGCCGCCATAAGTCGATGATCGCCACTATTATTAGTATAAAAAAAATCCAGTATCTATACCGCCATTTGTAAACGCTATAAATTTCATGTAAACCAATTAATTTACACGTATTGGGATTTTTTTTAGCAAAGACATACATTTTGTCCAAAATTTATGACAAAAATTTGATTTTTACATTTTTTTACTGGACATGTTTTGTAGCAAAAAGTCCAAAATATTGTTTTTTTTTTTTTCTCAAAATTGTCGGGCTTTTTTTTTTATAGCGCAAAAAAAAAAAAAAACCACCAAAATAAAGCCCAATTCATGGTGAAAAAAAGATGTAAATTTAATTTTGGTGCAGTGTTGCATGACTGCGCAATTGTCAGTTAAAGTAACAAAGCGCCGTAACACAAACCGCTTATGTAACCGCTTCCTGACCGCCCCATACAGAAATACTGCTACAGGGCAGCACAGGTGCACAAAATCACATATATACGTGATTCGCGCTCCAGTGATTTTCACGCCCCTCCCAGATTGCCCTTCAGTACACCAGTAATCACATTTAACCCCTTGATTGCCAGGAAGACGCTTATACACAATAAACCTCCATTGCTAGTTTAGCATCTGAACTGATCAATATCTTTGATCAGATCAGCACTATACCAGCGTTCACATTAGTATAGCGTCCCCAAAAATGCAGCGTTAGCGGGATCAGCCCTGGCACCTGCCAGCACCTGCGTTTAGTCCCTACGCTTACCCCCCCTTCTCCCCCAGCAAGTGCAGTGTCAGTAGGTCACTGTCACTTGATACATTGTACACAAAACCGCAGTGTTGGCAGAATCAGGCCTGATCTCTGTTAGCACTTGCCGGTAAATTTTGATGACTCTCATATGCAGCAGAGTGCCAGTACTAGTGCCACACTATCTTTTGGTGAACTGGCGAGCAGGAGCGGTCTAGTACATCCTGGTCTTTCACATACCTCTTAGATTGTAAGCTCCCAGGATCAGGCCCTCCTAACCCTCTTGTATTGAACTGTCTTGTTGTTGTATTGTCTCCCGTTATATTGTAAAGCGCTGAGCAAACTGTTGGTGCTATATAAATCCTGTATAATAATAATACCAGCACTGCAGTATCACTTGGCGACGTGGCGAGTCCTATAAGTGCAGTACAAGCTGGTGCGGTGGCGAGCACAAGTATTGTCCCGCAAGCACCAAGAATTCGCACGCAGGTCCATAGAGCACCTAGTATCCTTCCGATTGGCAACCCACAAATTCTGCAGCACCCGTACTTCCCTCATTCCCTGCCCAACCCACAACTCAGGCGGAAAAACAGCAAATTTAACTACTCCCCTTGATTTTTTGGAGCTGTTTTTCACGGAAAATCTGTATGTGTTGACTGGACTGTGGATCAAAGCATTTTATATGCACAACAATGTATCACCGCCAACCAAAATTCAAACTTTGCCAGACCATTCGCATGGAAACCCAGTATGATTTTTGAAATTATATTTATTTTTGGGCCTAACCCTCAACATGGGCATTACTAAAAAAAATGAATTGTGGTGGTATTGGTCCACAGACCCGATTCATCACATGCCCGTGTTCTATGCTGCCATAGCCAGGCATAGATATGAGAGTATAATGTGTTTTATGCATTTCAACAACAATACACTCTGTTGTCCTTGAGGTGACCCTGAATTTGACCGGCTACACAAAATTCAGCCCCTCGCAAATCACCTTAACCAAAAATTAGCAGATGTCTATACTCCCCAGCAAAAAAATCTGCATTGATGAGTCCCTCATTCATTTTTCTGGCCGCCTTACATTCAAACAATTTCTCCCCCAGCAAGCATCCCAGATATGGGGTCAAGATGTAGAAGACCTGTGAGAGAACAACAGGCTATACTTATAAGTTTCTGATTTACGAGGGAATAGATAGTCACGTGGAGCCCCCAGGATGCCCAGACTACATGGGGAGTAGTTGCAAGATAGTTTGGGACTTGGTGTCATCCTTTTCCCTTATGGGGTACCACTTATACATGGACAATTTTTATTCAAGCGTGCCACTATTTAGACATTTGTACAATCTTGGAACTGGCGCATGTGGCAAAGTGTGACCTAATGTGTGCCCACCATTAGAAGTGGGTGGATGCAGGGCGGTATATTTTAATGGTGGGCATATCACACACTATTTTTTTTACAGAGATTTCTTCTCTTTTTTTCATTCAGTCCACAGGCTGCATACCAAAAAAAAAAAAGAACATAGCATATATACCCAACAAGGACCAGCAACGTACTGGTACATCACTGGCCTTTGAATGGTTATACCAGGATGATGCCTACAGCTGCAGGCATCATCCTGGTATAATTTTTTTCAGCTGACGATCGGCTTTCATGCAAAATCAATCCTAGTGGCTAATTAGTTGCAGGATTGGTTTTATAAGCAGCGGGAGATAATGCCCACCTCCCCCGCTGCCTTCCACGGCCATCTCGGGTAGTCCCGCGCCATTGGGGGACCCTGAGAATGCAGCCGGTGTTTCTGCCAGCTGACAATAGAGCTGATTGGAGACCAGAATGGTGACAATCATCTCTATAGCCTAAGAAATCAGAAGCTACGAGCATTTCATCACTTCAGTTTCGCAGGATATAAACAGCGCCATTTGTAAATTGGGAAAGCATCTGATCACACCGATCTTGCTTTGATTAGATAATGTAAGAGCAGAGGAGATATCTAGAGTCTGATAGAACCCAGATTTCTGAAAAAAGAATATATGACAATGCCCATTGAAGTTATAGGGGATATTTGCATCCCCTGTGATAGAATTAAAAGTGATAAAAAAAAGAGACCGTGTAAAAATAATTAAAAAAATCAAAATAACAAAAAAAAACGAAAAAAAAGTATCCTAACCCCCCCCCCGTGTACACGCGCACCTGCATTTGTGAGCCTTGGCCCTGTGCCAGTATGGAAACAGCAGTTGCACCATGCATGTGAGGTATCGCCAAGAACGTCAGATCAAGGGCAGTAATTCTACACTAGACCTCTTCTGTAAATCTAAAACGTTGCCTATGGATATTAAAAATGTATGCAGTTTGTCGCCATTGCACGGGGCATGCACAGTTTTAAATC